AGCAAATAAATGTGTGAATAGAATATGCACTGTTTCACTTCTTGAAACATTGAACATTGAATATTGATTGAAAGGCTGCCATGAACTTTGAAAGACCACTGTGTTCAGAGAACTGTGATAGAAACTAAAATAGTAGAAAAAGATGTGATACTTTCATTTTGAGAGGTTTACAATGGGATGCAGAAAAAAAAGAAACCTGTAAATGTGAATGGCAGTGTATTTGGTTAGTACCTGCTGGCTATATAAAATTGCTTTTGGACGTGTTTCATGATTCCTTATAAAACGAAGACTTAATAAGTTTACTTGGCAGCTGATGGGCAAAGTTTTAAAAAAAAAAATCAAATGAGTTTTTTGTTTTCCTTTAAGCAGTTCCTGGCAATGCTTTCTTTTTTTTTAATTTCCAACAGTTGAGTTTTTAAAACAGTGATTGCATTTAGAACCTTCAAGAAAGCTTGTTAACCATGGATTTGATGAGCCAGGTCCTGAGATCTGAACTGGGAGCTGGCTTGGTGCACACATGGCAGGGCCAAGGGGGTCTTGGATTTCCATGCAAGGGATACACAGACAAATGAACATGATAAGAGCAAACGTTAGCCTTGCACCCTTTGAGTAGCAAATCACAGTGTATATTGTGTAGTCCGTGAAGATTGGTGTCATCCATTCCAGGGCCTGGGTACTGTGTACAGGGTGAGCAATGACTTAGATGGAGAAAATATTTATCATTTTCTTTGATCACTTTTTCATTGCAACCACATTTCCTAAGAGAATGGGTATACCAGTTCAAATATTTGCTCTTCATTTCATGCTGCTTGGCAGTCTTTGCATCCTTTGCTCTCTGACTTGTTCACCTGGCTGTGCAGTCTGTTTCCCAAGAGTGCTCTTGATGAGATATTTTGTCTTTATCAGGAAATTGATTTCTTGCATCTTTTTCTGAGATTACTGAATCCAATATTGGAGTAGCATGACTCAATTCTTGGAAAAATGTCGAATTTGGGATTCTGGTGGTTGATTTTTTTTCCAGTCAGAGGGTCAAAGCCAAATTTGAGCTTGTTGGCGGGAGAGGCAGAGGAGATGCCTTGTGGCCTGCCTGGTTCTTCCTTGCATGAAGCTCTCATCCTCCTCCAGCAGCGTGCTGCCTCATCACCCCGGGCTCTGGGTGCATCGTGCTTCCACTGGAGAGAGCGTCCTGCTCCAGTGTAGCTTTTCACTGTTTCCCTAGTTCTAAATCTTGACTGAGATTTCTTGGTCTTATTCTTTAATTCCTTAAGCATCCTGGCAGTTCCTTACTGGGCTATCTGCCCTTACAATTGTGCATTGTTGCACTTTTGGTGAGATGAGCCTAAATTCACCACTCTTCCTTGGTGTTGAGAGGTGGCTTAGTGGCCTAAGCTTTGGGTTAATAAAGGCTGGACTCTTGAGTCCAAGACTAGCACAGCTGTTTGCACTCTGTGTCTTCCCATAAGAGATGCACCAAGCAGTTTTATTATGTGTAAGGGCCTTTGCCGTGATACTTTTGGGAAGGGCAATGTGTATATTTATATTTCTCCTTGATGTTTTATTCATGACCAATACTTGTTTAGTCTATGATGGCGATAGGGAGCAGGAAAGCAGTCTGTGTGTCTGAGTCTAGTTCGTTTAGGTCTTAAACTCAGAACTGGTTTAATGCAGCACGTGTATAGAGTTATTATAAACAATGATGGCAGGAATGCACAATTTCTGTAATTAAAATGCCCAGTATATTCAATTCACTGGATTTTACCCTGTGACCACTGTGCTCTTTCTCTCTATGTGAAGAAACGCACTCAATTAAGTCTTGCATAATGTGCGCTTTGTCAGTCCAAAAATTTTTTTCAAGTTGCTTGTGGTGTCATTGGTATTTATTCTGCAACGTCAGCAGTGCTTGTGGGCCAAATGCAGAGTGCAGGCTGTGGTTGAAGCAACTTTTTGTTGCTGTTGTTCACATTCCAACATTCTTAAGAACTGCCTGAAAAGAAATGTTGGAACTGCTTTCTAAAAGTACTTTTCAGAGCCATGCACTATTGGAGAAGTTAAGAACCTTACAGTTCCGAAGGAAAAAAAATGACTGTGGGAATCTATTTTATTCCTACTTTGTGACAATGCTAGTTTATTTAAATCTCTCTCTCTCCCCCGCCTTTTTTTTTTTCTTGTAGTCTTTCTCTGTCGCCCAGTGCAGTGGTGCGATCTCGGCTCACTGCAACCTCTACCTCCTGGGTTCAAGCTGTTCTCCTGCCTCAGCCTCCCAAGTAGCTGGGATTACAGGCGCATGCCACCATGCCTGGCTAATTTTTGTATTTTTAGCAGAGACAGGATTTCACCATGTTGGCCAGGCTGATCTCGAATTCCTGACCTTGTGATTTGCCCGCCTCGGCCTCTCAAAGTGTTGGGATTACAGGCGTGAGCCACTGTGCCCAGCCTTAAATCTCTTTCTCAAACCTAAAAAATAAAATTTAAAATGTTACAAAAAGCGTTTCTGTGTTCTCATTTTTTGACTTCCTTCTGAGGTAGGAAAAGAATAACTCTTGTAAATAATGAAATGGTTCTGTCTTGCACAGAACACAAAACAAAACATTCCAATGCACTCTTGACAGCATGCCTCTGTGTCCCTTCCTGCAGGATTCTCCTGTACTTTCCAGAGACCTTCATTTTTTCCTTACCTATAGTTGAAAGGCTACCTGTAAGGTGAAATGTATATGTTGTTTAAATGTTTATTCTTTTCAACTATTGGCTAATAATTGATAAAGATGGAGATGAGAACCTACGATCTTAATATTTGAAAGTGTTCATTCTCTTTTTCTCTGCCCAGTGTGGAACAAAATCTGAAGCATTTAGTTCTCTTGTGCAATATTTCCTTTGTCCTAGCTGCCTCTGAAAGGAATCATTAATACCCTTTTAGCCTTAGCTTAGCCCTAGGCTTTAACGGAGTAGGGAGAGCCAAGAGAAGCAGAAAGACAATAGGCCAGCAAGAGGGGACATCAGGTTTGAAGTCCCCGTTGCTCACTTCTCACTAGCTGAAAGGCCTGTGTTTGTTCTCTGCAGCACGTTTGTCAGCTATAAAACAAAGGTAAATACACATACTTACGTATCTTATATGGAAGATATTTGTTTATATTTTTTAGTCTTGTTGTATCTTTGCAGGTTTAAGAGCATCAAGTGAGCTCATGTTTGAGAAGTTATTTTTGAAAATTCCAGATTAGATAAACATGTTATTCATCTTATTTTTCCAACTTCAGCGGGAGCCAGGATTCCACAGTTTGAAAAATGAAGACACTCTCCTTCTTCGACTTTTCTTTTCCTCTCTCTAAATTAACAGTGGGTTAGCATGAGAAGTTTGGTCCTTTTCAAGGCCTAGTTTTACTGTGAGTTTATAGAACCAAACTTCTGAAAGAACTATGGATAGATCTTTAGGAGATTACTCTCCTAAAGAGATAGCGAGACCTATCCAGAGAAATAACCACTGTGGTGTGAAGGAGGAAAGAAAAGTGGAGATCTTTAAAGCAATGATTTAGGAATTGTATTTAAAAAAAGATACAGAATGTCTCTTATGGGAGATACAATAATGTGAAAACTTCAATGTTAGAATTAAGCACAGAGTTAAAATGAGATACAAACATAATCAGAGTTAAATGTAAAATTTGCTTTGACATATAGTCAAAGCATATGGCCCCAAAGTTAAAAACCATTTAGTTGGGAGCCAAACCAAATGCCAGAAGGGCTTGTTTCTCCTGAATTTAACTAAGACATTTTTCTTAGCCTTTCAAACTCACCTGTCACAAATAGGTTCCATTTTTACCTCCATCTCTGAAATATTCTGTGATTCAGGTACCCAGTGCTGCCTCCATGACTAGCCTATTGCTCTCTTGCCAGCCCCCAGAGCCAGAAACTTGGTGGTGCTTATCCTTGGGTACATTCACAGAATCTCCCTTGACCTCAAAAGGCCCAAGTGTCAATTTTCTGATGTAATCAAGTATATATGCTAGAGATATAAGTCATGTATCAAATTTCTAGTTTAATTAAAGACTTGCATTTCAAATTGAGCTCCTTTCCTCTACCTTCCAACCCAACCCCATTTTCTTTACCTGGTTGTTTATGTGTAGGAAGACTTGCTATCTAATGTAGGAGGTCACAACAGCTACTGACAGGAACAATCTGATGATGGGTTTTGGAGAGATGAATGGAGAATGGTGGATGTGTGGATATAGTAATTGGCCTAACTTCATCACAACATGCCTGCTTTTAGAAATAGCAGTTGCCACCATCTTGCCCCCTTTTCAATAGATATTTGCTTTATGACATTATGAAAAATCAATATGACATAAGTGTAGCATGCTGAAAATTAAACAGTCACAAAAAACCCATGGCTGTGTGTGCAACTGAGCCTGTGCGGATAACCTGCTGACATTTATATATTTTCTTATTCATTGAAGCCTGTGTAGGTGAAACAGAAAATAAAGCAAGGGGGAATGTTAACTGAAAAACAATTTATATGCCTGAACATATTTTATAACAACGTAAAAGTGAAGAACCAGATATACTGTTTTAACTGGGGATTCCTTCAGAAAGGTGGAATATAACCTGGCGAGTGTTTTATCAAGATATGAGACTTAAAATGGAAAAATACTGTTTCCATTAATGGATGAGCAAACTCTGCCATAAATATTCACACAATTGGTTACCAAGTATAATTTAGGGCCATGTTTGAAGAACATTTTCCATATGAATATGTTTCAACACCTGCATCTCTTTAAAGCTCACTGTTCGGTAAGGGGAGTTGGTAGGCACGTGACTGGGTGGAAAAGGAGAGAAGCAAATGGAATTCTAAAAATCATCTTTACATTTCGGTCTGTAAAAAGGAAAATAAAATGGCTGTAATTATAACACAGCCCTTTCCTGCCCCCGCAGTCAAAGCAGTTCTCGAGCCCATTTTGAGAATTTCTTTCCACTTGCAAAATGAATCATCAGAGAGGGGATATTTTGTCTTATTTAAGGGCACACAAACCTCAGCCAGAATTCCCTGTTGCAAGCCAGTTTGGTGAATAGATTACCATCAGTGATATATAGTGGAATGCCGAGTGGAATTCTGAATTATAGTGGAATTCAGATTCTTTGAAAAGGAATAAATAATATATTTAAAAATATATATTTGTCTTGGGATATTTAGGCCCTAAAGGCACAAGACATTTTTATGATTTCTCAATTGCTTTATAAAACAGACGTTTCAACTACAAATATCTATTAGTCCTCGGCTTAGTGTCTTGCACTGGATTTCAGAAACTCTCATTTAAGCCACTGTTTTCAGTGATTTAGCACTCATCAGTTCTAGCTTTTTTGTATAACCCATTACTTTTTTTCCTCTCACTGTGATCTGTGCGATACTATTTCTACCCCCCACAAAAATGTTTATAAAGAGATCATGAGCATAATTATCAAATGACATGCTGTTTTGCATAAAATGGAAAACCTCGAAGGAAGCATGTATTTACTCATTCATTGAATACTTAATTCACATCTACTCAATTCCAGGCACTGGCCCAGGTGCCATGGCCACAGCAGGGACTTACAGGTTTCTCTCCGCAAACAGCTACAGTCATAACAAAATAAGGAAATAAATATACAAAATGAGTGCCCATTGTGATAAACACTCTCAGGCTGACTAAAATACTGATGAGGTAGAGAGTTACTAAGGGTGTTAGCTAAGGGTTCCTTTCTGTAGTGTGATGAAGGGAGCCGCTCTATGAAGGGGTCATTTAAGATGAATACAAGGGGCCAGGGGAGGGGCAACGGAGTGATAGTTTCATGCAGAGAGGAAAGCCAACACAAATGAGAAAGGAAGGAGGTTGGCATGTTGCAAGGACAGAAGGTAAATCATGGTAGGGCTGAAATGAGATGTGGATGAGTTTGGAGATGTGAAGAAGGACCAGAACATTCTGGTCCTTGTAGCCTGCAGTAAGAGTTTTGGATTTTACTCTAAAGTGTAATGGTTCTGTGTAAGCGAAATGACATGATCTGATTTATACTCTAACAAGATCACTTTAAAAGGGAACAGTTAATGACTAAGGCAGTATCGGTAAGTAATGGGAATGATGCAGTGAGAAGAAACTCAGGGGGATGTGACCAGGAGCCCACCAGGGTTAGGGCGGAACTCGCACTGGGAAGAAGATGGTACCTGTGCTGCCTTCTCCTAGCCCTGTGGAGCCCCCAGGTGTGGTTGTCAGTGACCGACTTGTAACTTTCTAAGCTCAGATCAATATAGACAAAATGGGTTTTTTGTCTTTTTTTTTCTTTTCTTTTCTCATTGGGCATACACACCTTTATTCTAAACATCAATAAAGGGGAAGTCAAAAATACCAAAAACATTTAGGACAGCTTGTAGCATGAGTCTACCTAAGGAAACAACTGTTTGATATGGAATAAAATGGCATATAGAATTCCCAGCAGTGTGACTTAATGACTGAATTGTGTCCAGTGGATGGAACATTCACCCCAAGCCTTTCATAGAAGTCATTGTGTTGTTATTCGCCCAGTGGTAAAATGACCCATTATGTCTGTGCAATGTTCCAACTCTGTTTTCATATCTGCCCTCCAGTAGGCTGCAGGGGTGGTGAGAGTGCCAGTTTACAGTTGTGTATTAAGCCTCGATCTTTGTCTTTCCTCCTATTGCAAGGGCTTCCTTAGCTCCTTCTGCAATAACCAACTCTTCTGACCCAGCTCTGGGCCCAGCTTCTCCAGCACGTTGCTACTGCCTTGCTCCTTACTTTGTGCCAATTCTTGAAGAGGATAATGAAGATAATAATATTAACTCATATTAATTGAGTCTTTACCTTGCTTCAGACATGGTGCTTCTTTATCTACATTGTCTCATTTATTCTTTAGGGCATCCCTAAGGGTGTTCTCCATTATCCCCATTTTAATAGTAAAACTGAGTATCAGTAAGATTGTGACTTGTCCAAGGCCATGGAATAGGTAAGGAAGCAAAGAAGTCCAGAGAGGAGACAAGGGTGTAAGCAGAAGATGCAGTGGGAAGGCTGGGATGGCAGATGTCAAGGTGACTGCTGGGTGGGTGGGCATCAGGAGAACAGATGGGTTAGTCTAGCCACAGTGACATGCAAATGAATCATAAAGGAATCAGTTGATCCTTAGAGACCAAACCAACCAGACACACCATTGCTTTCCAACTTATCCTTTCATTTTCCTGTGTTGGTCCACACAAAATAACCAGTTTGGGACAAAACTCAGTTTGCTTGGAATAATTTCAGTCATTTAGGAACCTCCGACCTACTTTATAAGCCAAATGTGCCTCACAGCACATAACCTTCGAAGACTGTTTTTATCCAAATTAAAACACAAATGGTGCTCATCCAGATTTTCATTCAGTGTAATTTTGGATTCCTTTTGGGTATTTACCTTTGGCAGGGAAAGTAAAGCTGATCTGCTCGGCCAATAAACAACAGTCATTTCAGTGGGGACTGCAGCAGGGCTTTCGGTTAAATGAAGATGAACATTTTAAAAGTAAATTCAGCATACATGGAGCTACTTCAAAATATGGACTGGTAAGGACATAATTAATGAGGCTGACGTAAATCAGAATGTGTGTATTGTTATTCTTGATGACAAACTACCCTGGGTGGAATCTATTAAATACACTTGAGTAACCTACATCCATCAAAAAGCTGTTTTTCCCTTAGAAGCTACTGTCTACCAGAAGCCGTCTTGCCACATAATAAGATCCTGTAGATACTTGATGAAAAACTGCAGGCACATATGTGTGAGCACTAAAAGCAATACAGAATTAGTGTGGAGAATTATTAGAAACATTTCCATTAGTTGTCTACTTATGAAACCCTAGTTCTTGTACAGAGGAGCCAGTCTCCTCAGCTAATGACTGTGGGGCGTACACATGAGCAGATTAGCATAAATTTGTCCTTGATGTAGCTATTAGTTGGGTGTTAGGGAGCCTCAGAATATTTGGAGAGTCTGATTAATCTGAGCAAACTTGGAGAATAATGGGATCGTCAGATCACTGGAAGCAGCTGTGTCCCGCCTGGTGGGTGCCCTCCGCAGCTCGGGGGCAGCGCTTTCCTCCTCCTCACGCTGAGGACTTTCTGCAGCAAGTGGTTTTAATGTCTGCTTTTCCAGTCTTCAGGGCATTTCATTCTTGGCTGATTGCTCTTGTATTGTCTGTAGTGCCAAGTGAACCTGAGCCACTTGAAAACTCATGAAAAAGGGAAATGGAGAGTTTTACCCATTTTAGGTCAGTGTAAAAGAACGCAGTCAAGTTAACACACGTATTGAGTGCCTGTTGTGTACTGCACAGTGTTGAGTCCTGGGGGGTGGGCCGTGTGGGGGGAGGCACGATTATAAATAGTATAAAAAATAAAAATGTGAATAAAACATGTCCCTGCCATTAAGCTATACACAATCCTTGCTAGGTGCTTTTTTAACAGAACAGACAGATTTGACATTTTAGATTTCCTTTGAGCCTCCCATTCTGGTTTTAATTTATTAATCAGTGATAGGTGATTGTTTGGGAACATGGAAATTGTGGATCCATTTTTAAAGAGGTTGAGGGAACATGTGGACTTGCATTTCCCCTGGTCACTCACCAACTTTTCCTTCTGCCACCCATCTGCCGTCTGTGAAGTCCCCAAAGGCTAGGCTTAGGCCAACACAGCTGTTGTATATCATGTGGCCACCAAGCTCAGTCCATGATGCTGCATCTTAAATATGGTATTCTCTCTGACCATCCTTGCCATTGCCCTAAACCACCTGCAGAGGACTACTGCATCTTATTGCCTGCAGGAAAATAATGTTTAATATTAAATTCTGGCAATAACATGCTACTCACCTGCTTCCTCCATGGAAAAATTATATCTTGAGATACAAAGACAGGCAGCATAGACTGTGGGTATAGAATGTGGGTGGGGGTGCATGAAAAGAAAAGTTATTGGGAGCTAGACAAAACGGGGTTCGAGTTCTTGTCTTTGGGAAAATCGCTGTCTCTTTCTAGGCCTTCATTTCCCTTTTTTAGGTGGTTGGAGTCAGCGATTTCTAAGACACAAATTGAACATTCGGTGGCTCCATGATTCATGTCAGCAAAGGTCAGAAAGGCAAATAGTGTAAATAGTGACAGCTAGACATCCATTCCCCTCAAGAGTAAAATCAGTACATGGGTCTAGAGGGAGCAGAGGCTCCTCAATCTATGCCATCCAAACTATCTACTGTCAGAAAGTAGACATACATAATCTCTAGTGTTGGGGCATCTGGGGCTTAACACCAGCATAAGAGATGGACTTGAGGCTCATCAGAAATGGAGCAGAGCGACAACAGGTAGCTACTGCTCTTCCCTCCACCTAGGCCATTCGTGAAGAGGCAGGTGGCCCTGAAGGTCACTAGGCAGATGTTCAGCTGCCCTGGGGGCAGCCTGATCTTGAGTATTGCTGCCCACCTGATCTAAGCTCACTGCTGCTGCCTTTAGCAGGAGGCAGGAGCTCTGGCTGCTGGGCCACAGCCTTTCTCTACACTGACAGCTGCTGCTGCCACTCTCTGCCAGGTGATTTTCCCTCTTAGCAACAGCTGTGAGAGGGAAGAAACGAGAGGGGCGGTGACCATAGGGAAGTTCTCTTAAAAATAGCTCCAGGGTTTGTGCCACAGCATACTGATTTGGCCTTTGGCTGGATTTAATTTGCATAGTGAGTTCAAGAGTCCCCCAAACTGTGAAGGAGAGAAAAGCAGCAATATTTATTTGGGTCAAATGCAATATATAAGACTAACCTGTATAGAAAATATTTTAAAATCTAGGCTTTTATTCAGAGACTAGGGGTAATAGAAAGCAAGTAAAAGAAAAAAGTTAACAATCACAAAAACAGCAACAACACTAACAACCAAGTAAATGCTCAATGTGCACTAGTCCCATGTTAGCCCCTACTGCATACAGTTTATCCTCTTAATTCTTATAAAATCCCTGAAAGGTTATTTTAAAGAAACTGAGGCTCAGAGTGGTTAGTTAATTTCCTCCAATTTACACATTATGAGAATGTGTCCTGGGTGCTGTGATTGACTTAATTCTTTCACTGTTTCATTCTTTTTAGAACCTATCATTGTTTACTGCCCTTTTAGGGTGATATTATCCTAGAAAATAGTTTTTATTCTAATAATTGTCCATATGTAAGCCCTTTTCTGTCTCTTGCAAGTTTTGCAGTGACTAATGCAAACTTTTCTTATACAATTTAGATCAGATCCTGAAAAATGAAAAAAGAAAAATAAAAAACAAGAGAGAAACATACTAACTGTGGGAGGCAGAATAATGTCCCCCAAATATGTCCACATCTTAATCCACAGAACCTATAAATATGTTGCCCTACATGGGATGAGGGACTTTGCAAATATGATTAAGTAGGGATTTGGAGGATATTCTGGGTGAGTGAGTTGGTCCATATAATTATAAGGATTCTTGCCAGTGGAGAAGGGAAGGGAAAGAGAGTCACCAGTGAGAGAAGGGGATGTGATTACAGAAGCAACACCAGAGAGATACAGTAGGAGAAGGATTCACCTTGTCTTTGATAGGCTTGAGGAAGAAGGAAGAAGGCAATGAACAAAGGAATGGGAATGGCCTCTGGAAGCAGGAAAAAGCAAGAAAATGGATCCTACAGGAAGTAATGTGGCCCTGTCAACGGAGCTTGACTTTAGCCTGGAGAGACCTATGTCATATTTCCAACCTACAGAGCTGATATTTTAAGCCACTGAGTATATGGTAATTTATTATAGCAGCCACAGAAAGGTAATACAGTAACCAAGAATAGGCAGTGTAATTTACCAGAAGAATTCATGGTAAGGACACGTGGTTCCCACTCTGCAAACTGAGCTGAGCTTGGACCTATGCAGGTTGTTTCAGGGCAGACTGAAGATTCTGATTTAATTCCTCTTACTTCTCCAGATACATGTGAGAAATAACCTTTTCTTTGCTTACTTTTAGAAAAGGGAGTAACCTTTTCTTTTAGAAAAAGGGAGAACAAGAACAAAAACATGCCTAACAAGATGTCTAAAGATACATAGAAACAGACCGTCATCACCGCCTTGTTTTCCAAAAGTCTAAGACAACTGGTGAACTTGTGGAAATAATGAAAGCACATTTCTCGACAAAACAGTCTGATATTATGCATAGGTTTCAATTTCGAGGTAGGTGTTGGTGCCTGTATGGCAACGATTTGGATGCTAAATTTCTAAAGGTTTCTCATGATCTCTGCATTTACTGTTTCAGTTTCTGGAATGTTCTTCCTCATGACTTTTACGTGGTTTACTTCCTCACTTCTTCAAGTCTTTGCCTAAACATCACCTTCGCAGTGGGGCTCCTCCTCATCGATGTATTTAAAATCATGCACTCTTTCTTGTTTTGCCTCCCTCTATGGATCGCCACTGGATGTAGTAAATGTCTGACATTAATTTTCTTGACTTTTTCTATCCTCCCATTAAAATATATGCTTCATAAGGGCAGGATTTTCATCTGTTTGGTTTGCTTAGGTATTCCCGGCATTGTCTGGCACTTAGTGGAAATTCATTCTATATTTATTGAGTGAATAAGGAATTGTTAGACTTGGAGGGGGTGTTGGTGAAGTGTAAACCTTCCCTGAATGATGGCACCAGTATATAAGTTTATACTCATATTCAGGATGGTACTGTTTCTTCAGTTCCAGGAAAGGCCAATCAGTTCTAGGAAAGGCCAGATAATTAGGCCCTGAACTGCTTACGCCTGAGAGCTCAGATTAGATTTTGCTGCCTATCCTGATGACCAAATAAGTTTCCTACCCTCTCCCTGCTCTGCCTCTCACCCTGTCATCACTGTCTGGTCAGAACACATGGATAACGACATAGGTTAAAAGCCTGATCAAATGTGAAGGGTGTTACATTTAAATACACCACATGAGGGATTCAGACTAGTTAGAGTGTTTTAGCATGAGTTTTCTACCATTATGCATACATTACATTTTTTCTCCAGAAAGAGGTTGTCATGTTATCTTAGTTATACTGTAAATAGCACCTCTGATAATTCTGTATATAAAAGTTTATTGGCCAGGTATAGTGCCTCACGCCTGTAATCCCAGCACTTTGGGAGGCTGAGGTGGGCAGGGCAGATCACTTGAGGTCAGGAGTTCAAGACTAGCCTGGCCAACATGGTGAAACCCCGTCTCTACTGAAAATACAAAAAAATTATCCAGGCATGGTGGCGGGTGCCTGTAACCCAAGCTACTTGGGAGACTGAGGCAGGAGAATTGCTTAAACCCGGGAGGCGGAGGATGCAGTGAGCTGAAATCATGCCACTGCACTCCAGCCTGAGCCTTCTATCTTTAAAAAAAAAAAAAAAAAAAAAAATTATCTTAGAGTTCATGGGGGTACCTCAGTATTTCTTCTCATTTTGAATTGAACTAAGAATGGCACATCCAGACTATTCTGCTCAATGTAAAGGCACCTATTCTTTGGTAAAAAGGAAGCAGAAAATAGATACAAAGAAATAAAAATGACCACAAGCACTTCAATTTTGGTAGAACTACTCCAGATCTTGTCCATATTAAGAATGTCTCAAGATGATCCAAAATATTCCAAATTTCATTTAAACTGTTGCTACACAAGTTAATATTTCTTATATACCCATTACTTACAAAACTCACATTTCTAGAAAGTCTCTTTTTCTGAGGATTGATGTATATTTTTTTCCTAAATTACATTGAGTCGAAATTATGAACCAGACAATTATCTGAGCTATCACCTCACATAGGCTGCTATTGTGACTAACATTGAACTGATTATATGAAATATGAGAGGAAATTTGCCTACAAGACCTGCCAAGTTTGCAATCACTAAAATATATTCAACAACAATATTCAGTCCTCCTGAATTATTAATGAAGCAAAGCTGAAAGACTCACCCTGACCATCTCTATTCACACTTAGATGAGAATTTATTAGGGAAACAAAAATATATGCTGAGTGTTGTTATACTAGCACCTGTTTTTCATTTATGTCTTCCATAAAGTTTAGAAATAATCATCTGGGTTTCTTATTAAAAATGTAAATTCATGGGCCTCTCTCCAGACCAACTAAATCAATTTCTCTAAGAGTAGGGCCCAGAGAATCTGCAATTTTAAACACGTTTTCCAAGTGATTATTATGTCTTTTAAAATTTGGCCAGCTGACTTATACTGTGACTCTCTTCCACTATAGTCACTCTCCTTGGGTTGGTGACTGGTGAGTAGATGGAGTGGTGTGGCACTGTCATGTTACTGTTATGAGCGTGGCCCATGGGATGACCTGGTGACCACGAAGTGATTAGGAATATCTGTAGAGCAATGTGACATTGACTACTTAGCTCCACCTCCTGGGCTGAACCAAAGCTACTTTGTGAAAGAGGCCATGATCCCTCATGGTCGTTGCCCTAGAAGTAGCACTATCTGGAAAAAGAGAGCAAGAAGAGCATTCCTTTCCTTGGTTACCAGACTGTGTTCACTAAGAATAAAGCTGTTTTGTATTGTAGAATGCTATCACTCAGAGCTGGTTGTTTTGTCTCATCTAAATTTTTGCATTTTTATACTACAGTCAATTAAATAGAATTAATTTAAGGTAGTATTGTTTTCTTCTGAAGAACATGTTGATGAAGAATGTCCCTATCTTGCCAATTGTGCTGTCACACAATGGAAAAACATTGCATGTTCTGACCTTTTCTGACCACATAGCATTTCTGGCTTTTGGACCACAGGCCAGGATACCTCTGTGAAGGCTGAGATGCCAGCAAGGCAGCCAAGATGAATTCTTCACCAAGAAGTGGATCGTCTCATATTGACCAGAGTCTGCTTTGATCCAGGCCTTCACAGATTTTACTTTCTCCGTGTTAGCACCTGCTGTTGGCCTTCTTTCCTACTTTGTATTACAATAAATAATAAATTGAATTGGGCGTTCTGATGGATAATGCTTAGATAACATTTGCAAGCTTTCTCTAAACTCTAAAGTGCTATGCAAATGAAAGGTTTTATTGAAGTAGATAAAGATACACAGGACTTCCAGTTAGAGGAGAAGTTTAGTGGTAACTCATTTTCTTTTTTTTTTTTTTTTTTTTAGTGGCGTGATCCTGGTTCACTGCAACCTCCGCCTCCCGGGTTCAAGTGATTCTCCTGCCTCAGCCTCCCGAGTAGCTGGGACTATAGGCACGTGCCACCACGTCCAACTAATTTTTTGTGTGTTTTTAGTAGAGACGGGGTTTCACCATGTTTGCCAGGATGGTCTCAATGTCTTGACCTTGTGATCTTCCTGCCTCGGCCTCCCAAAGTGCTGGGATTACAGGTGTGAGCCCCTGTGCCCGGCCCAGTGGTAACTCTTCTTTTAGCTGGCTCTGGTGTTAAGGGGCTTTGCAAGAAAGTTTTTTTTCTTTCGTCTTTTATAATGTTTTAATTACACAAGCAATATGTATTCATTGTGAAAATAAATAGAAAATACAGTTAAGAGCAAGTAAACATAAATTGATGGCCAGACACGGTGGCTCACCCCTGTAATCCCAGCACTTTGAGTGACTGAGACGGACAGATCACCTGAGGTCAGCAGTTCAAGGCCAGCCTGGCCAACATGGCAAAACTCTGTCTCTACTAAAAGTACAAATGGGTGTGGTGGTGGGTTCCTGTAATTCCAGCTACTCGGGAGGCTGAGGCAGGAGAATCACTTGAGCCCGGGAGGCAGAGTTCGCAGTGAGCTGAGATTGTGCCACTGCACTCCATCCTGGGCAACATAGTGAGACTCCATCATAAAATAAGACAAGATAAGATAAAATATTGATACAAATAAATAATGAGGTCAATCATAATCTCACCAAGTAGAGGTATCACTAACATTTTCATTTCTAACAAATTATATATGTATCCTTCTTAATATAATTTTTAGAAGATATGCAACTCTTCAACTCAATATAGGTATGCATATCTTCATTTTGAAAGATGATTTTTTTGACAAAGTAGTTTATATATGTGCATTTGCCATTTTGCTAGTGGCAGTATATTTTGGTATTTAAGCACACAAGCATAATATTATAGTTTTTACGTACACAACCCAAATGCCTGTGTTTGAATCTTGGTTTCACCTAAGGTAGTAATTTAAATTCTCTGTGCTTCATTTCCTCACCTGTATAATGGGCATAATAATAGCATTTATCTTATTGGGCTGTTGTGAGGATTAATGAGATAATCAATTTTCTGTTAATTACTTAGAATAATGCTCTACACATAGAGAACAGTCAATAAAATGTTATCTGTTACTATTAACAAATTCCTTGCTGTTACTGTACCTTCATATTAAAGAGTTTATTAACTGCAAATTTATGATATCATTTGGGCAAATCAGACCTCTTAGAATTATTCTCATCACTTTTTTGCTAGGAGCTGAAAAACTATCAAATGACAGGGAACCTGGAAAAAGATTAAAAATGGATACACACTTGAAGGATGAGTGGTGATGAAATTGTTGGTAATCCTCAGACTTTTTTTTTTTGCCTTGACAGGTCCTTCTTCTTTCAGGTCTAAGGAAAAATATGAATTTTCTCAGCCCAATTACCAGATGATTTTTCCCTAATTTCTGCAGGAAGCTCACAGATGTACTAATTTGACAAAGGTTATGGCCAGACTTCAGAACATAAAGCGGGGAGTTCAGTGACCGTCACTAGGAGCAGTGTTCATTCTAGGCTACTGTTTGATATGAGCTGAAGTTAGTTAAAGGGGGATACAAAGAGGAAAAGAAAGCAATTTTAATGGTTTTCGTCTATATCTTCCATTCATTTCCAAAAAGTCTTTTAGTTTCCTTCCAAGTGAAATACAATGACTGTTACTTGCAAAATGGCAATTATACTAATTATGCTTCATCACTTAAAACCATATTCTCAAAGATATTTGTAAGAATTACATAAAAGAGATCTGTATGTCATGACATACTTGTTTGATCAAAGTGTATTTTGTTTACCAATTTAATCAAGAATCTTAGGATGAACAGAGAAATTCAGGTGATTTTTTATATGTTTGTTGCCTGCAAAAATTTCAGAATTTGGCCTGGCTGTTTTTTTTTTGTTTTGTTTTGTTTGTTTGTTTGTTTTGTTTTTACAGATAGTTGAGAGGTAAGCCACTTGACACTAAGCCTGTACATGTCAGGGTATATTTTGTGAAAAGGTAAGCATCTTCCAATATTTAAAATAACAGTCTTCCCATATTTAAGTACTGGCCAAACTGGAGCCTTTTTTCTCTGGTGTACATATTCTACATAGGTGAAAAGACCCTCTGTTCAAATTCCAGCTCTGCCACATAGTCACCACATGGTCGATTGTATGTTGTTGGATAAATTACCTCTCTTTCCAGGCCTCAGTTTCCTTATATGCCAAAAGGAAATGAGCCATCTAGAGGTTAAATGAGAATAATATATACTGCATCTGGCATAATTTCAGGTATATAGTAAATACTCAATAAACATTAAAGCATTACCCTTCCTTATCTTTGGAGTATTAAAGTATTATACTTTACCTATAATCTCTAAAATAAGTGAAGATTTGAGTAGACCCTTAAGTAAACCAAGAAAATCCACTTGAAATCTTTAGAATGAATCCCCTAAGACACAGATAGGTCCAAAGGCTCTTTGGCAGAAGAATTTCTCAGAGAAACCTTTGGACAAATGGCCCCGTGCTCTTACATAACAACGTTGACAATGCCGTGAAGTGTTGGGTTGGGCTATTCATGCATCTCTGTAAAATGACTATAATGATCACTGACAGAAAGTTGAAATCAAAATGTTGCCCATTTCCCCTGTAACTTTAGAAGGAGGGTTCATGGGAGAAATTACGTGAGTGCTAACTTATCTCTCTTAGGTTGGAACTATTTTGGACAGTAGCTAAAATCAAATAAGTGAAGCTACTCTAGTTAACTTAAAAGTTTTACAACTAACCCATTTGAACATTTTTATTTCATTTTCTGTCAGTTATTGATTTGGCATCATATGGAGTAACCAAAGTTAAAACACACAGCTGCCAAGTCTCTTAACATCTTTCAAGGGGAACACTCAAGTTACCCCTCCAGCGTTACTATAGGATTGACATTTACTTTTAGAGATGTGCTTGTAATTATAAAGTGCAGATATTTCTTGG